TTAGATATACACGACTGTTTCAGTTGAAGTTTAATGCTAGCATTACAGTTTAGATAGTTTATATAGTGTGGGTGTCATTTTAGATATTTTTAAAAGTGATAATTTATCGTAAGTTTGTTTACTAAATTATTTACAAATTATACATTGTTTAGTTCAATTGTTATGAATCAGCAATTGTTTACAATAGTGAGATTATTGTGTCATGTTGCTAGAACTTTCTGAGTTTCTTGGTTTAATTGAGTATTATTGCATGGAATGTTCTAGAATTATGTTGGAGTATATATACGTGTCGAAAAATCATTATGTATTTCTACTTCTAGACTGTATAATCGTGAGTTTAGCAATAAAGAATGTATAGTGACAATTTTTAGAGTGAAATTATCACAAACTGTATTGTAATAACAGAGTACAGAAGAATAATTCGTCTTGTTAATTGTGTTGTATGGACTTTGACGAAAAAGAGACAATTATTTAAAGCTCTGGATACAACTGTGGTAACCAACAGTGTAAAGAACATTTGTATATACATTATATTTATTTTTAATATATTATTTTATAACAAACAGACTGTGTTCCTGTTTATCCATAGTTGAAATTTATTGCCAACAAGCCACCGACACCTACTGTAAAGAAGTTGGTCTTCCAAAACCTGACCATTGTGATAAGATACACGTAAAAGTATGTTGTTCTGTGAAATGAGAATTATTGAAGTATGTGATATGAGATTGGTGGGCTATAGATAGACATGGTATAAAAATCTGTAGTTAGGTGGTGTCAATCAAGCCATTTAGTTGGATCAGTGAGAAGATTTTGTAATGCACTGGGTGTATAACATAAACTTGAAACAATTGTTAGCTTTGCTGGTAGAACATGTTCTGAGATTATCCACAATTATTTTTAGGAAACAAATTAATACTTATGCTTAATTCTACAAATCTATATTTAGTAAAACAGTCATTAATTAGTATATATGCTGAGTGTGTACATATATTAGTCATGTAGTAGCACTGCTGATGTAGGTATGGCTCAGATTGTTCGTAAAAATGGTATTTTAAATATATCCTCACTAGGTCATCAGAACTTTACAATACTATACAGTGTTTCCTTTTATAACAATATCTATGTAATGACTGAGTCATAAATTCTGGGAATATTTGTAAATATCATAACAAAAAGTTTGAATTTCTTGCTCTTCTTTCTTCTGCTTCTTTTTTATTACATGACAACTCAAAAACCAAAATAATGGTATCAACCAATTTCACTGAGTTTCAAATGAATGATTCACTTTTATAAGTATTATAATTTAACTAGTAGTAATTATAAAAAATCACAATTCTATTGTAAACGATGCTTTCATTACCCCTTGCAGTTAGTTTTTTACAGAAATTTGATGTTCCTTTAAAAAGCTTAAGTACAGGATGAAACAGGAATTACCAGCCAATAATAGTTATTATGGTTGGAATCTCATTGTATTTAGAACTTGGTTCTAAATACAACCTTCCTATATCTATTGAAACACTGCATTAAAAAAAACAAGTAAAGAAAAAAACTTTTCAAGAAAGGAAGTAAATGTAGGGATGGCTAATATAAATCATTCAAAACAATGGAAACAAGGTAGTAGGGATGGCATTTGCATCATCCCTACGTAATATTACAGGCAAGAATTAACATATAGCAACATATATAACTATTCAATTAGAATTGAGTTTAATCTATCTTATTTTTGTCTGTTAATATTCTGCTACACTGTGTGCTTGTGTTATTTTGTGGGGATGATGCAACTGCCATCCTGGGAGAATATTTTCCCTATGCCCACCTGGCCTTCTCTTAATAATATTCTTCCTTGGGTAGTAACCAAGATCAGTTCATTAGAATGTTGAGTTTTCCTAATCACATCACTCTGGATAGCTCAACCATGGTTTCTCCTGCTAGGTCAAATATCTCAAGGGGATTCCATACTGTTATCTCTTTGGTGTCATCTTCTATACCAACCATGAACATCCACCTTCCACAATGAAGTTTGTTGTCTATAGCTTAACCCATGGCTGATTCTTATGAAGTCCTTTATAAGAGAAGCTACATTCTCTTCTTAAGTAGCTTGAATGTTATCATATTCTTCCCTAGGTTCATCCCTGGTTCCTTATCAATCTTGTTATTCAGGAGTTGGTGCTATAGAAATTAACTTTCTCCAATTTGCTTCCTTCTTCATGTTCTTAATTATTTCATGATGTTAACTTCCTTCTTTCTTGTATTATTGAGTACAAAGCTGTCCTCTTTGCTACCCTTAGATGCCACAAAAGCCATCTCTCTCTCTCTCTATTTCTTAATTCTATCCCCACATATTCCTAATCGTTTATGAGCCTTTCACTTTCTTCATCCCAAGTCACTAGATACTGTTCTCAACAGGACTTATATCTTGTATTATATCTCACTACCCCTCCTTTTAAATCTTTGAGTGACTTGCTCACTCTAATAATGTCTTTCACTGACGACATATTCTCTTCTGTTGTTCACTTTAGGTAGGAGAAGATCTAACATTTAAGCCCTTGATTTTGTACCAAACACTAGGGCTCTAAGAGAAAGTAACCACTGTCTTCACCAATTTTATTACCTACCCATAATGACCAAGATTTCCATTCTGATAAACACTATATCCTATGAGAGATATTAAATATTATATTACATGAACAGAATTTTCCAAAGGGGCTGAAAAAAGTTATTTATCCCTTATAATGAATCTTGCTCCAGGGTATTTTGCTTCATCCACACTAACAAAGTAGATTGTGCATCTGATCCATCGTATCTGTTGTTTTGTACTCAAAAACCTTTGAAGAGAATTTTGGATTACATCTCATCAAATTTGCTCTTTGGCAATGTGTTTGGCTTCCTGGTCTTAGTACCCATCAGAGGACATATTATAGGTCTGGATGTGGATAAGTTTAAATACATTTCTAAAATTCTACTTACATCATTTTGCTATCTCTTCATTTGCCAACTATGGTTATTCTCTAAGACATGTGGAATCTGTAGCATGTGAATTATTCTCTGTTACCTGCTTACTTATCACTTGGGCCCACAACTATGATGTGTATGCCAACTCAGGTGTTTCTATAACACCCAAAACCCTTGTTAAAAATTACATGAGTATCTTGAGTTGAGAAGTCATTTGATTAAAAAATAAATGAAATAAAAGTGGTTTCTCCAATTTTAGTAGATTCTGTTTTTATACAGTTTATTACAGCCAGGACTTTTGCAGGTGAGTACATATTCCTGTGTTTGGCCTTGTTCCATATGAATATTTTTTTAGTCTCCCATTCTCTTAGTAGATTCTATATTTATCAAAATTTGACATGCTACTTTATCCTCTGCATTTGTAGACACACTTCCAACCTTGTTTGTTTTTCATAAGAAGATAATGTCCTATGGAAATGGAAAGAGGATGCTATCTAGTAGCAGATGATGCCTCAGGAGATATGATGTCTTTCCCATCTCTATGTGCCTTGTGTAGCATTAGAGATATCTAAGGTGGGATGGCTATTCTCAAGGGATATCTCATAGCTCCAACCAGGATAGGAACATCTAAATTTTTTTCTGTTTCCTTTGCACTGTTCTCGAGTTGTTGAGTCCCATTGTCAGGACACCATATATCTTTATTCAGTTCTACCTGAGTGCCCACTGGTTGAACCAGTTTCAGAACTCACTGATGTTTTTCAGATGAGGATAAATGGGTAAAATAACCAGAAGGATATCTACTTATAATATAACAACCATAGCATTTCTCCAACATGTTTATGCCACCACATGTGTTCTCATTCTTGACTCCTTGGGTAAATACATTACTACCCTAACTAACCCTCTTTTTATATAAATAAAGAGCATTGAGGGTAAAGAGGTAGCCTACTGAGAAAAATGTTTTTATTCTGAGTGCCTTAGGTCAAGTTTTTAAATTAGGCTGTTCCACTCCACTCATTCTCCTAGAATCCAGGTCTTCAAATATTTATGATTCTCAATTCTAATCTGGCTCTGCTCTGTCATATCTTTAATGGGGTTCCTTCTCAGGTTCCCATCTCCTTTTAAATGTGGATATTCTGGCTATCAGTATTTTAGAAATATGTTTACCCAACTTGAGTTTTACATTTTTAATATTAGAATAAATTTTGAACAGGTACTTACCTAGATTTAAAGTACATTTCCACCCACTTCTCCACAACTGGGAAATTTATGTAACTAAAAAGTCTGAATTATGATTGGAAAGCAGAGCCTTTGTAAATTATCTTGATGCATATGTAAAAAGTCATATGGAAAGCAAGAGAGTGGAAAATTGTGGTTAAACGTTGCATGTTCTGCATTGCACCAAGACATACCTTTGAGTCACATGGTTGTTGACAGCATGAGAGCAAATTCAAGAAGGAAAGGCTGTCAGAATTTCAGAGGCAAATACCTGTTTGAAATTCATTCTAATCCTAATAATGTAAAATTTGGTTAGCTACATTTTTTTTAGATGTTTCATTCCATTTCAGGTTTGATGTGAAGGCTGTATTATTGTTTAGTTCCAAATAAACAGCATACACATATATATATATATATGTGTATGATTCTTCATTATTTGTAATATTTTCATAGTTGATAAAACCTTTAATGAACATCTGAAACATGTTTTGGTATGGTTTATTTATAGGTATATAAACATTATTATATCCAAATGAACAAAAACAAGCCAGAACAAAAGTCAAATAAAGATGTTGCACAAATCAAAAGGATCCCTGGAGCACAGTCTATAATGTAGGATATGTGTAGCATCTTTATTTGACTTTTGTTTGGGCTTGTTTTTGTTCATTTGGATGTCATTTATCAGAGGTTTGAGTTGCTGTTTTTAACACAGTCCTTCCTTCTGATTTTGTATTGCTTGACTGTTTGAATATTGAGTTTCTATAAATATTATTGTATGTTGATACAGAAATAAGAAATTTGTAGCTAAATACCACATGTATTTGTTTCAGTGATCATGATATAGAAACTCAACTATGCTCCTCGATGATGGCAGTGGTTTTAAAGTCTAGACACCAAATGATTGGATTTGAACCTAATGATCTAAAAGTTCAATTAACTCTGAAGAGAAAAATTTCCATTAAAGTAAGTAAACATGCAACATAATTACAATAATTGTACACTGCTGTAAGTTGTACAAATTTCACTATTACATATACTGAATTCTTCAGGATATTGAATACCAAACTTACACCATAAAGTATATTTTCAGGAAACCTTTCATTATTAATAACCTCAAAATTTGTAATTAAGTAGTAGTTAATGATTTTTATAATTAATGAATTTTCTTAAATTGCATAATATTTAACGATCAACAAAGTGGTGAAATGATTTAAGCCTACCTGTTCAATAACTGTATCTCATCAGAAACAAGGCTGCAAATACTTAAGTTATTGAGTGAAACGTATCTAAGCTTTCTTGAATGAAACCTGTTCTTCATAATGCACCTCTAGCAAAATTTAGAATAATTATGGCATTTTTAAAAAAGATTTGTCTCAACTTTAAAAGAGTCAAGTCCTGCTGTAAAGATTTTGATTTCAGCTTTAATTTATTTAAATTTCATCATTTCAACCTGAAAGACTGACTAGCAGAATATGAAATAGTACTTAGTTGTTTGTTTCTTCTGCAATTGTTCTTAAACTATATATGTATTCCATGCAACTAAATCTTTGACCCTCTTGTTATGCAGGATTGGGGGATAGTTTACCTAAGTGTTGTTATTGCTTTTAATCTGGACAAGGAAAATGTGATGCTGTTTTGTTTGACTATCTTCAGTGTAAGAGTTATACTAGGAAATATATGTTTTCTGAAATAATTTAGCAGGCATAGTTCCTAAACAATCATTCATGAGCTCTGTTCTGAGGCACAATGAAAAATACTATTTTTTATGTCTAACAAAATAAATTATTTTGTTTATTTCCACAGAGTTAATATCTGAGCAAGTGGAAAATTATATTAACAATTTAACTCTCTACAAAGATATTAGCAGGTTTGGGAGCTTCAGACTTTCCATTTGATTGTTGTATAAAGCTATTAACAATAAAGTAGAACACCATTATCAATTAGATTTATTTAAGTATCTTCTTTTGGCCATTTTAGTTGATACTGCATATTTCATGACCAAGTTTTGGTTAAAGTCATAGACAAATATTTACATATGAAAAATAGCTCAAACTTTTCTCGTGTTTTATATGAAAGAGGAAAGGAGTTGCAGAAAACTTTGCAATGAATATATAACATGATATACATTTAGCATGATAATTACAATTAATGAAATATATGAAACAACCAATTTACTGGCAGGATAAATAAAATAAATTACAAGTTTATTAAGCACAATAAAAGTTTTACGACTTTCAGAAATTAACAAATTTAGTGTAAAAACATTTCACATGTAAAAACACTAACTTTCAAAGAAAAAGCCATCTTGTCAATATCAAACTACAAGGCACAGTGTAATAATAAGAATTATAAAAATTATTAAAGAGAACCAGACGAGGAAAAAACCTAATTTGTAAGATTACAAGAAAGAATAATATTCAACATCTCTGACAAATATTACATATCACAAATAATGATCAAGCAAGTATTTGCAATAAACTTTATCACTTTCAATAATCAACAGTTATAGCTTACTTTACATGACTGCCTAATTTTGTTGGAAAGTTGGTGGAGCAAAAAAAAGCTAAGTCAATCTTAACTGGAAAACATTACATCATATCTGTCAGTATAACTTCTCCAACCAGTCTCACTTAACATCAAATTATAGGAGTTTATTTCTTGTCAGACCATGAAATTACATACCACATAACTAAATACTTGACATTTGTTTTATGCAATTATATGTGAACTTAATATGAATACATCAACACTAAGAGAACCTTGTGTTGGTTAATTTCTTAATATAAAAATGACTCACTCAGTGTTTAACATGCATTTAGGAAGTAGGTGAACTCAAAAACAGAAGGAAAAAATATGTAAATGATAAATAAAACTGTAACTGAAAAAACGTTTAAGATATGTTAGTAATTCATACAAAAGTGGTGCTTATGCTTCCTTGAATATTAACAATCTCTGAAAACTAGAATTACATCCTTGTTGTTGCATTTTTATTAGTTAAAAGTCCTTATTCTATAAAACACACAGTGAATTATTTGACATAAGTTAGTTATACTAACAGTAATTTTTGTGATGTTAGATATATTTCTGAATTTACAACAATTACTTAAACTTTACATTTATGCATGTCTGTTCAGAAGAATGGATTGTTATGTTTATAAGCATTAATGTTTACTTGATAGTATCTTGCTCAAATTTATTATAATATTATGACAATGTTATATTGCTTTTATTCTAAAATTTAGATTGGAGTTCAAAATGTTTCTTGTGCTGTGGTTTCTTTTGCAGAAGGGTAAGTTTTCTCTTGTATATTGCAAATAAGAGAGTAAGAAAGAAAATGTATTATATTTATTGTAGTTAAGTCAAACATATCAGATTAGAACAAACAAGTATACTCAAACAGTGCTGAGGATATGGGAAACTTTAATTACTTCTCAACATGCTCTTATTAAATACAGTGTATTTCCTCCAGGCTCTATTATTCATAAGCTTCATCACACATACCATTTTGGCAAAATTCAGGTGTTGTTTTAAATATCCATTTGTTCACACTGGCTTAAGAACATCGCTTGTTTTGAAGTGTTATCTAAGCTTATTGTCCTTTAGAAGGACAACAAGATGGATATCACAACTAGTGTGCTAGGTTAAGAGAAAGAGCTATGGAAATATCCTAATTGTATAGTCTTAGTAAGTTATCCCACAAGTCCACGGGTTAAGTTCTTCAACTAATAGCCTACATACGATTCTGAGATATATCCCAAGATAGATGTACATATTTCTGTATTATCTGTTTGGATAGGCTACCTTCTTATAAGTTCATACAGAAATATATACATGCTAATTTGAGACTTAAGAACAGAGCTGCAGTATAGAACCTTTACCCGTGTAATAGGTTTTGCATATGTTTATGTCCACACAGATGTGTGAAGAGCATCATGCAGAAACTGTACGGAAGTTTAGAAAAATTACTTGAGCATACCCAAATAAATATATATTCTAAACCAATTACAAAAGGGTAAAATTAGTAGCTGTTCTAGCTATGACAACATCTTGAACAATTCATTTGTAATGCTGGAAAATCTTTCCTAATTACATAAAGGAGATGTGAATATGTAACACTAGAACAGGTTAATGAACATTAAAAAAAAATGGAGTATTTATACTCTGACAACAACATAAAGCAAATCAAATCTATCCACAATGTTCATTGAAACTATATGCAAAGTTCAAATTTCATTATACTTAATGTGTCAAGAACTAGTCTTGTTCAAAGTACTTATCTGTATATTATTGTCATTTTACAAACTTCACAAATTATAACTGATAAGTATGTAATATTATGAACAAATAGATGTAAAATTTGAGAAACACACTGGAGAAATAAAGGAATTACACAGAATTTTAAATATACAAACTTACAAAATGAAAATAAACACTTTTAACTTCATGATTTTAAGGATAAACTCTCATCAATACAAGTTTTATAGGTAAAAGCTTCTTTTTATGTGTACAAACAGTGACATTTATCAGGAATTAGAAAAGATTCTATTATATGTAACTCGATTCCACAAAAAAGGTATATTTGAGTATTTGCTAAAGAGATGTGAAAAATAGCAAAACAATTTACTCAAAAGAAAACTACCATGATACTCTAAATACTACATCTCATTTGATAAGATTAAAATTGGAAAGTCTGATCAGTATGAATACTTCTTTAACATACAGCCATAAGGTAGCTACTTGAACACTTGCATTTGTTTAACTGAATGTGCATGGGGTCAGTCCATTGAATCGACCTTGCATTGAAGAAGTAATGTTGACTATATTTCCGAATTTATGAAGTGTATCTTTATGAAATAGGGCAAACTATTAGTCAATGGCATGAGTCTGTTGTATAGAAAAAATAAGATGTATTACTCAAGTTTTTGTAAAAAAATATGTCTGTAAAATGCCAAAATCAATCTGACCCAGACTCTGACAAGTCAAAGTTCAAGATGATGTTTATGTGAAGAATTAAAATCTTTCTGTCCATCTACAGTTTGTGAATTTGTATAGCCTCTACAATCTCATGAATGCAAATCTGAAGTTTTTCGATATTCTTGAATATTCTATCTTGTATTTTCTGTACTCTAACATAGAAACTGTTGCAAAATCAGCAGTGTGGGATAACATGAAATGTTGATAGCTCTGACATCAAATGCAAAATACCATGTTAAATGACATTCTGTACAAGGTTCAAGCATGCACACATTGAATTCCACCCATGCACATAGGGTTAAGGTTGCCTAGATTCATAACTGAGTCACTTTGTCCAAAGAAAAGAAAGTAAACTTTCAGAATGAAAAGGTAGGTAAGTCAAGATGAATCACAAAAGTATAAAACATAAGCATTTTTGATATAAAATGTATGTCATTCAAAATTATTAAAAAACAATCACATGAACAATAAATTAGTAATGATATATATATACTGAATTATAATCACGTATAATAAGCTAAGATTATTTTAATCTGGTTAAATGCATATTACAAAAATACAAAGGAGGGATCCAATATATCATACTAGCAGCAGGTGAACATCTACATGCTTATGTTCGTGAAATAAACTTAAGATCATAAAGTTTGATAAATCAATTAGATAAAAACGTATTGAAATCCTAGGAAAGGTATTTTTTAATGTGACTTACATGATACTTTGTAAGCCATAATTTACTTTTATCAAGTGTATTGGAAAGAAAGTCCTCTCATCTAATGCAGCAAACACTGTTCTGAGAAAATAACTTGCTAGTAACTGCAAATGTAAACATGTCTTGAGATTTATTAAAAGGCAATAATTGTAAGTATACTTTTCTAAAAATGTCTTCATTGCTCTATAATTGTACTGTATACTGTAACTTATTAATTGCCATCATCTTGAGAGTAACATTCATCTTCATATGTGATGATCTGTAGTGAGGTTAGCAATGTGAATGGTCAATAAGGCATTCCTATTTGTATGGTATTGTGCACATCCTCCACTATGACATATTAGAATGTTAAGAAATTTTCTCTGACTAGTACTATGAGAATATTTATGCTCTTACTAACTAAATTAACTAAGCTTAAGCCTTAAGCAGACTGAATGTTATATGAGACCCCATTAGCTCAAAGCTGAATTCAAGCCTACACACAACATACAAGCATGCACTTTTTTTTAAAGAATTAAATAAATGAATTTGTATTATTGAATAAAATTTATAGTTTCTATGGTAATTTAACCCAGTAGATAATATTAACTCTCTTAACAGATTAGGATTCAGGAATTCTCAAGAATGCATTTGCTTTTAAAATAAAAATCATATATTGTTTAAGTATCCTGCTTAATTTCATACAGTTCCTAAAACATTAATTTTTGCATGATCACAATATTTTAATTTCAAGTTGTGAACGCGGATAATTAAAAATGAATGTCAGATTTCTGCTTCACAGCAGCGTACTTAGTTTAATAATACCTAATATCACAATTTACAAGTGCAAAGTGTTCTACATGCAGTTCTGGTACCTTTATCACAATATATTATATCTTACTATTTCATTTAATTAGAGCCCAAGGTTATTTGTTACTGGAAATACATATATGGAACATCACATTTTTAGATAAGCTTGGTCATTTTAGGTCAATTCAAATGAATTTTTTTTGTACTATTTCAGAAAATTTAAATTTCATCTAGATGGTTGTCAACAAACTCTGAAAGGAAGTTACATAGTATGTGTCTGTAATCAAACAGGGTTTTTTGCAGCTTTGGCAACAATTGTTAATTCAGTAAGTATTTGTAGTTTTAATCCGTACTTCATAACATATACAATTAATGTTATTGCATATAGTGCCTTGCAGAAGTATTCAACTCCTACAATAATGTCACATTTTTATAGTTTTTAATGAATTTGTTTTTATTCAAAACTCTAACGATTAAACTTATCACTTTTATATGTAAAGGAGGTTGAATGTCAGAAAAACCTGCAAAGAAAATATATAAATTGATATTTGCTGATTGCATAAGTATTAAGCCCCCTAAGTCAATACTTTGTGGAAGCATCTTTGGCAGCAGTTACAGTTGTGAGTCTTTTTGGATAGGTCTCTGCCAGTTTTGCACAATTGGATGGTGTAAATTTTGCCCATTCTTCCTGGCAAAATTGCTCCAATTCTGACAAGTTCATTGGGGATTATTGATTGACTACAATCTCCAAGTCTTGCCATAAATTTTCTATTGAATTCAAGTCAGGACTTTGACTAGGCCATTCCAGGACATTCACTTTCTTCTTTTGAAACCACTCCAGTGTCGCTTTGGCCTTGTGCTTCTGGTCATTATCCTACTGATATGTACATTTTCGACCCAGTTTTAGATTCTTGGCTGACTCAGGCAGGTTTTCCTCTAGGATTTGCCTGTACTTTGCACAATCTATCTTTCCCTCAATCCTGACAAACTTCCCAGTTCCTGCTGATGAGAAACATCCCCATAACATGATGCTGCCACCACTGTGCTTGACAGTTGGGATGGTGTTGACTGGGTGATGCGCTGTGTTGAGCTTACACCAGATGTAATGCTTTATATTTAGACCAAAAAGCTCAATTTTTTCTTGTCTAATCACAAAGCCTTCTGCCACATGTCTGCAGTATCATTTACATGCTTTGTCACAAAGTTCATACAAAACTTAAGATGATTTTTTTTTTAGTAATGGCTTCTTTCTTGCCACTCACCCATACAAGCCAGCTTTGAGTAATGACTGGGATATTGTTGATGTATGAACACTGACTCCCATCTCAGACATAGAATTTTGCAAATCTTTCAAAGTCACTTTTGGCTTTACAGTGACATCCCTAACCAGTTTTCTGTTGGCCTAGCTGCTTAGTTTGCAAGTGTGGCCTGATCTTGGTAGTGACTGAGTGTTATGAAGCACATACCGCTTCTTAATGATGGACTTCACCGTACTCAAAGGGATGATCAGTGACTTTAAAATTTCCTTGTAACCTTCTCCTGACCTTTGCTTCTATACCACTTTATTCCTGACTTGTTTGGAAAACTCTTTGGTCTTCATGGCTGGTTTGTCATATTACTATGTGAGTTGTGACTTGAACAGATGCATTTACTGTGAAGTCAAGTTAAACCAATTTGAGTACACACAGACAGAGACCATTACACTAATCTTGTGACCTTTCAAAATAATTTTTTGCACATGAACTGTTTTAGGGTTGCTGTAGCAAAGGGGTTGAATATTTATGCAATTGAGAATATTCTAAGTTTCTTTGAAAATTTAACTTACATAATATGAGCATTTTTTTATCTTTCTGAGTTTCATGATTGCAAGCTCAGACTGCAACAAAATATGGACACTTTGCAGAGGGGTGAATACTTTTGCAAGGCACTGTATGTCATTATATTCCAGATTGATCAAATAAGGCTATGCTGTGGTTTGATGTTAGTGTCTATTATATGCTAGCTATAATAGCAAGAATACTGTTACAACAGCAGAAGTCACGTGACACTGATAATAGTCATGAGTTTCTAGAAGGATTATGACTGTTTCTGGCAACTCTAGTCTTTTCTAGGTGCCCTCTATTTTAATATATAAGCCTGACAAATAAAGTGGAGATATAATTGCATATAGACAGATATAGAGACAAATAATTGAGTCAAGCAAGCTGTAGTGACTGTAATTAAAGTGCGTGAATCGTTGTGAATTGTAGTGTGTGTTTAAGTTAAAGTGACTGTGGAAATTAAGTGTATTACAAAGTTTGTAACGAGAAATAATAAACTAGTTTTAATCAAGAAGGGACTTGTATCACTGAAATCACTCGGAAAGAATTTTTACCGAAAATTATCAAACAAGCAGATACGTAACAATATGTAGTGTATATAGAAACAAAATAATAATAATATAATTAAAATATGGTACAAAAAATACTATTTTAATAAGTTAGTGAAAATACCCCTAGTAAATGGAACAAACTTTCAGAATAATTGAAATTATAGAAACTAGTTTTGACATATTAATTTGGCCTGTTCAAATGTGTCAAAAATAGTTTCTCTAATTTCAAGTCTTCTGATAGTTTATTCCATTGTCTTTGTTTTTTTACTAACCTTTTAATTGCTACACATGATATTGTGTTATTTTATTATTACTATTTTAATGATTTATTTTGATTGAGTTTGTAAGTTTTATTAACAGTTTGAACAACAGTCATTTAATTTAATAATGGAGGTACCTGCACTGGCTAGCCAGCAGGCCCAGGTCACAATTAATTAGCAAAAATGCCTGGAATAAGTTTAAAAAGTTACAAAAGATTGAAATAAAAACCTTTTTTGGTGAAGCTTTTATATTCTCCAAATCTTTTATTGATGAAAAAAAAAAAGTATATGTTCAGATTGTTACAGTTAAGCTTTATGTAGGCCTGTTCTTACCAAATAAAAAAAAATGAATATAGTTCTAATAAAATACAGTAGAGTATTTTGAATGCATGAGACTGAAAATGTTTAAAATAGGAATGGTTAATCTACTTGTATTCATAAGATCACAACTTTTTTACATTTTATAATATAGCTCATCTTTGTTAAATTTTATATGACAACTCATAAACTTTTTATAGGCCCCCCATACTCATGAAAGATTTGATGTCATTGTTGGTATTGGATGTGCTTTATGCATATGTTTGGTCCTTGTGACTGTGTTAATTCTACTGGTATTTTGGAGGTAGGTGTAAATATTTCAAAATATTTAAATACTTTAGTACTCTACTTTTGTCATTGTTAACTCATTTGTAAAGAAAAATAATTGTTATCGAATGTTTAATATGGTTTTTGCAACACCTTCATATAACCTTTTAATGTAATGACCTATATATTTAAGCTCTACAGCTTTATTGCAGATCAGCATTTGTATTTTAATTGGTAAACTTTGTAAAACATGATTTATTTCTTGTAATGACCTTAATAAAGTGGTAATGTAGTTAACTTATATCAGTCATTCATAGAAAAAACAATTATTAACATTAATATAATTTTTCATTTATTCTAAAAATGCAAATACTTTTGCAAGCAATGTCTCAAAAAATATTGTTACTTTCAAAATTTTAACAGCAAAGAGTACAATAAGAATGTTACAATTATTTGTAGTAAAAGGTTTCAGTGGTGTAGGAAAGGGAGTCAGTTGATGATTTACACAATAGGCCACTTTCTTGTCTTGAGCTTTGTTAATGTGTTAGTAGGGAATGTTCATTTTTAAACAGTTACAGTTTATATTTATCAGTACATGAGTGTTAAGTGGAGTAAAAAGTAAAACAATGAAATTTTTTGCTTACATAAGAACCCATTTAATTTTGTGTACTTACTGGTCACTCACACAAACAACCTTATTTAGTGAAGACTGCTGAATATATATTCATCAACACAAACTAGTATTAACTTAATTTCGTTTAAATGTCAATAGGATCAGTGCTTATATTTCAAAAAATGAATTTTGTACAATTTTTTTATTTCTTATAATGAACTTAATTAATATCCAATACCAGCACCTAGGTAATGCACTTACATAAATGTTTAATTCGGTACTTTGTTGATATTACTTATGTTTAGTCTAGTTTAAGAGTAATATATCCATATATCAGTGGCTGCAAATTTGTGTATTATGGAACACTTCAAAAATGTAGAAAAAATATTGGTGTGATTTTTTGGTACACTTGTAAGCCTTTATTTTATATTTCTTTTAGAAGAATTAAAGGACCTCTGACAGCTTTAAAGATTCAGTCTTGCATGGCTGTTCTTGGCACTTACAGCTGTTTCCTGGGAGCTCTGTATGAGTCATTTCACAAAGTAATGTGATTTATATAACCAGAATATTTTCTCTTAATATAATATTGTAATGCTGATGATATACCTTTCTTTGCCTACAGCTAATGCTCCACAAATAACCAACATTATCATCACTATTTAGAAGTCTTGTTTAAAAAGACAGTAATGCACTGTATTTTGCATGTATTTGTAAAACAATTATGCAATTCTATAGAACCTATACAAAACTGGAGAGAGGGAACGGATCTTCTACATTTCTGTAATTATATTATGTAATACTTTGTTTTTTGTTCAAGAACATTTTAGGGTCATTATTTCATAACATTTTAAAAATAAATAAATTTATGTCTTATTTTATTGCCTCCCCAGTGGCACAGCGGTATGTCTGTGGACTTACAATGCTAGAAACCGGGTTTCGATACCCGTGGTGGGCAGAGCACAGATAGCCCATTGTGTAGCTTTGTGCTTAACTTTAAACAAACATACTTATTCTGTGATCCACCCCAGTACCTTTTAAAATCCATCAGTGAGTTGCAACCCTCATAAGTTTAGGAACTGCTACTACAGAAACATACTATTAATATTATTTAGTAAGTGTTTATTATTATGGTAGCACTGTTCAGTATTCCTCAATAGTATTAATGTGTAGTAATTACACTATCTTAAATTATACATACAAAAGTTAATCAACGTGCAGTTCTTCCTTGTGGCTTGTGTATAATTTATTGAAATTCATCATAGTTTTTAAAATATTGCATTTGGAATTATTGACTTTTTAGTTAAATGGGGATTGTGTGTGTTTCAAGAGAAATTCATTTCTATTTTTTCAGGAGTACTATCCACATGTTGTTTCCCTAGTGATGTTTTTCTTATTAGCAGCTATCTGTATGCATCTGTGTATGGAACTTACTATTTGCATGGAGTTTGTGCAATTAAAAACCATACAACACCTAGAAAAAAAGATTGCTGCAATGGGGTGGGGTAAGTATCTTTTTTTATAAACAGTTTATTTATCCAAGAAAAGCTACTACATTGATGTAGCAAAATTCTTGTTTTTTTATATCAGTTATGGAAGTTTGTAATTAACATAGCATGTTTAAACATCATATTATTCTGATGAAGACCAACTTTAGAAAGGTGATTGGAACTGCCTTCTAAGAGAGCTGATAGTTCATTCCAATAGTTTGTACCAACAGTCCATACTATGTATGATTAAACAAATAATCGGCCTATTTACTATGAAAAAAACCTGATAGTGAAATAAGACTACACCCTTCTCAAAATGTGATTTCCCAAAATTCCTGTTAATATGATTTCTGTGTATGTGTTTGTGATTGTGATAAAAATATAGTGTTAAGTAGAAAGATTAAGTTAAAAGAGATAACAAGGTGGTTATAAATAATTAACAAAATTATTGATGTTCCTCTCATGTATTCACTGTTAAAGATAGAATACCCAAGTTTGTATATAACTGGAACCTTTAGTTTTAATCTGATGCATTAAAAAAATTGGAACAACTTAAAAATATTTAAACTAAGTAAATTTTGTTGATTAAAAACACCTTAATTAAATCCTTAGTGGAGGCTAAATGTCAGAGTAGTGAATGAAATGAATGGCTAGGTCCTTAATTTCTCATGGCTACAAAATATATCTCTTTGTTTTAATCATTAACTTAATTGATGTAGGTTTTCAATTATTTTTGGAAATTCATCTTAAATGATATAAAGTGTATATTCTAAGTTATTTTTATTTTTCTACTTTTTTTTGTTTAACAGCTGTGCCTGTAATAGTTGTAGGAGCAACTCTTGCAGCACAAGTTTTGGAAGGGTTTGATCTTGACAGGTGAGTTAACCAAACCAGTGAATTCGTGTAAATGTTTGAAAACTACCATCACACTGTATAAGTTATTATATCTTAAAGTTCAAATGATAAAGAAAAGATAATTACAAAATGTTTGAATCGTAGCTTTTTTCTATATTTTTATTATGGTGAAAAATTAATTAAAGGAACTTTCAAGGGAAGTTGTATAATGTGAGGTGGAGTGGGGGATCTAGCTCATAAAGACAAAAGTTTCTAGAACAATCTAGGTACTTACAGGATTTACTAGTCTAGAATCATATCAGCAATACATAGTAACCCATAATCAGAATTTAATAGAAAGGGCAATTTTAGTGTTAACATCAATTTGAAGAAGTTTAGAATAATTTTTATATACTTACAAGTATCTAAACTTCTACAATTATATCTTGAAATGTGAGATGCACATGATGTTATATATTGTTAGATAGGTCACATTTTTATCATATTGATTATTGTCATTCAACATTTTGGTACTTGTAAATCATATTTGCTTTGTAAGTTAAGATTAATAGAAAATTAATTTAGAATTTATAATTGAAATTATATTTTCAAACTACACTTTTGTTTAACATAAGACAGTTTTTTTTTAAATCATAAGATTAAATTTTTTTGTATAAAGTATAAGGTTATATATTAATGATCCAAGATTATTCTGTTTCTTCTCTAACAGTTGGTGGTTATTAATTGGAACAAGTTTCTTTTATGCATTTGTGACATCTGGAACTATTATTGTAGTGGTAAGGGCTTTTATGTTATACTTTTATCCTACCATTAATGTTTTGCTTTCTTGAAAGCAATCATTATAAATCTTTGCCAAAAATACACAATTTTATGTTAATTAGTTTTCAATTTTATAACCCATTTACCTATTGAGTATTTAAATAAGTTTGTTCATTTATCTTGTTTATTTTATTGCTCAGAACCGATTTACCATGTTTGTTTTAAGTACTTTATTAACATTTAAACATTCACATTCTCAGCTGGAGAAATATATGATCAGGTTATATGCTTAAAGATAACAGTAATCAACTTTTTGGAAACAAAATTAAATGTTGGAGAACTTTTTTTTATTAGACACCATTCAGAAAGGTAAACAGAATTAGTGATGAGACATTAGCATTAGGGATAATTATATAGAGGAATTTTCACAAATATATATCATATGTGTATATTTCTTAGCAATTGAAAAATATAAATTCTAGAACATTTATTTATGTGAAGTTATCTGCTAAGATATGTATTTTTGGTAGTTTTGCAGGATAAATTATTTATTTTCTGAAGATTATGATATGCTAATTATAAATACTTTATTGTATAGTTGTATATCTTACTATACCTTACTGTGAAAGCTGAATTAGGAAGACAGAAAAAAGTCAATCCACAACATCAGATAAAAATATTGAATAGGTAAGAGAACAATTATTCCTATTCTGATATTCCTTCATTAACAAAAGATAAAGTTTTCTCATATAGAAGAACTTCAACTCAGAAATTATTCATCTTGAAGTAGTGATTGATTATTGTGTGAAATATTTTTATATTCTAATAAAAACATGTAAAGGATTTTCAATTCCCAACTAAGTAGACGTCATAAAGATCATGACATGCACTGTTGAAACAATAAAAGGAAAAGTGCTTTAAGAGTTGTAAGTCACATAAATAAGGTATCATTATCATTAATATAGACAAGGGCTCCCGCAGAAAAAAAATTAGAGGGATCAAGTAACTCAAGTTTGAAAAAATTATGAAATTTAAATAGTTTTCTTCTATAGAAGACTGGAAGTCGCCATTTTTCTGGCATGGGCTGAATAAATATAAAACTATGATTCGATTAAGATATCCTCTAAATTACTGTATCAACGAGATACTAATTTAGACACTAATCATGCTATTGTTAATACCCTGTAATTACAAATACCTTATAATTTTTACAATAACATAGAAGAAGAATTTTACATGTCTAGTAATTTTTTTTTTGAAAATCCAGGGCGAGGTCAAGTGACCTCCCTTGCTCCTTCCTGCGGGTGCCCATGAATACAGGTAATTTTTCAAGCAGCATGCTTACTATAGGGCTATATCTAACAAATTATCAATCCTTAGTCATCTTTCTGTTGCCAGAAAGAATTGGTAAATAAATAAATAATTAAGTAAATCCTCTGTATAAAAAATAAACTGGACTGATTAAACCATGATTGATATCTTTGAAAACATCATGAAGGATGCTGTAAGAAAAGGATACTTATAGCTTTGATACTTTTGTGGTTCTTGGTATTTGGTTGATCAGTTTATAAAATTGCCCAAACATATGTAGCTTAATAACAAAAAAAAATTAATGCATCATTTTTAACTAACTCATTCAGCATAACACAAGTATAACAAGTATAAACATTCTCTTGAAAAGCAGATCACTGTGTTTCTTATAGCTCAAGGGCTTTTTATTAGCAGGCATACTGTACATTGTTTGTTTGTATGTATATTCTCTTTTTAATAATCTTAAATAAATAGTGCTACATTATATCATATAATCTTGAGAAATATATGTATGATCATTAGATTGCCTTTGCCCCTAATGAAGTAAGATCCAATTTTTCAAAGCACTAGGGTTTTATTGTTGTTTTTTTGTATGTTTTACCAAATTTTGTGATGATGTGTGTGTTTTGCTATCAAGAACTTATTACATTCATTTATACAGAGTGTTATTTATAAAACTGATTTGATCTAATATAATGCACTGACATTGAGCTTATTGGGATGTTTTTTATTCATACTTTAAACATTGTTTTGTTTGCAGGACTGGAATGCTAAGACGTTCATTCTTCATTTTCTTGTTACTTCTGCTTGTAGCTACATCAAGCATTTTGTTCACCAACTTTGAAGAAAATGTATTTAACTACTTCTTTTCAGTCTCTTCATCTCTCTTGGTGAGAAATGCTTTGTAATTTGTTTAACATCATTTGTAACATCTGTAAACTTTCTAGCAGTTTGTTTTTCCTAATCTGTTTCAATAAATTTATAGCACATAATAAAACTCTCTAAAATAGGTATTTGCCCAAATATTTGACTATTAAGAAACGGTTATATTTTAACACATAAACATAGATATGTCATTTGAAGTTGACATTTTCTGTCATTGCAAGGCTTTTTATTAATTATAATCATCAATCAGAGTCTAATGCACTATAAACAATTCAGAAAGTTCTGATTAGGTAATAATTTAGCTAAAACTATAAGAAAATGGTACCTTTCACAAGTATTGCTTTATATTATGTGGAACTTTTTTTCCTTCTTTTAATCAATCTTAATAGAGTTGTTCCTCAAATCTTTACTAGGAAATTGTATAGAACTTTTTTGTCTTTAGAGTAGTGTATTTAGTTAAAATATTTACACTTACTCTCCAAAGTTAATAACATTTCATTGTGTTATAAAATAAATGGTTTATTAAAGTTTGAAAGATAAATGCCATTCTGGTGTTATTAACCCATTCACTACGGCTGGGATATATATTTCTCAGTGCAATGGGAAATATGTCCTAGTCACAGTGAAAGGGTTAATATATATACTGAAGAAAGAGAGAGAGAGAGATTATTTTTCTGTACTTAAATGCTAACTATGTTTATTCTACTTTAAGGGCTGGTTTTCCCAGTGCATTTATCAGTTGATATTTCTTTTCTTTTTTTTATGGACTTCTTCTGCCGAGAGTTTTTCATTCTTCCTGAGACTATGTTTCATGTTCCATATGGTAAGCCTCATCATAGAAAACAATAAGGCAGAAGGAGTCTATAAAGATACATAAACTTCAACTACTTATATGTGTATGTTTGTTTATTGTTGTTTGACTAGGTAATTGATTTTATTTTTATTTCAGGGCATTTTCATATTTCTTTTTTACACAATAAAAAGTGAAAATGTAAGTACTAATATGAATTAAATTTCTAAAAATGCATGGTTTCAATTCAAAATTATTGTAGTGTTGTTATATGTACATGCATAGGCTGGCATGTGCCTACATTTTAACTAGTTCTGTGACTCATATATATATATCCACTTGATAAGTGAAGGCTGCTTAAATCTCTTCGCTTCTGCCTCTGTTCCCTCTCCCAACACCATATTTACAGTTCTCACTAGTATGTATATGTATGTATATGCAGTTGGATGCATGTATGTGCATATTTTTTCTTCTCACATTGCCTTTAATTAATTTTGTGAATGGTGCGAAGGAGGACCACTAAATCCTCAATCACTCCAGGGATCTAATTACTTCCCTTATTACCTGCCAGATTTTTGGATGTAAAGCATGTGTCTACATTCCCCTGTTGTTGCATATATATATATATTGTTGGGTATATAAATACATATACATACACCCACACCACTAACCCACTTCTTAAATATAGGCTTATGTCTGCATGCTAACTGTTGTTGTGTAATGGGGATACACACACACACACACATATATATATATATATATATATGCACTCATGTTTAAGCATAACTCTACATACTGTTGTTGTGTGACTGGTATATATATATATATATTGTTACGTCTCTGTTCGTTTGTTAATTTTCTGTAGAAATTCATTCCGAAAAACTTTAGCAATACAAGTCCTTCCTTAAATAAAACTAGTTTATTCTTTTTCAATACAACTTTGCAATACACTTAATTTCCACAGTCACTTAACAAACGGTATAATTCACAACGACCTATTCACGCCTACTACCGCGCTTAACTCAATTGTCCATAAAGTATATGTCCGTCTCTATCTCTGTCTGCAATTCAATTACATTGTTGCCATCACTTCTTGACGGTCTTATATATACAAGAATACCGCAAATCTAGTAAACACTTGAGGGTTCACGAACCTTCGAGAACATAACGTGTTACTAGTGTCACGTGATCCCCGCTGTCGTAACAATATATATGTATAAAGAAATAAGACTTTTAGAGAAAAATCACCTTTTAAAAACTATGGTAGTACAGAATTGTTTCTGGTTTGAAAAAGAGCATTTGCTTGAAACGTCACCAAGTAAATAAATTACTACCATAGTTAACTATTGTTATGTGACTGGTATGTATATCAACTTTAAGTGGTAATATACATATGCCAATATTGGCCAGGCTTTCTTAAGTTTCCGTTTTTCAAATGGAAAATGTTGAAAAAAATCTTCTACTATAAGTATGATTTATATAGTTTTTGAAAATATAACTACTGAAAAACCCTGTGCCAAAAATCTAGCACTTGAGCTGTATTCTGTCATATTGTTTCACCTTGATGAAGATGACTACTGTTTTTCACATCTGTTCTCCTTTACTATATTATATTGTACATAGAATAAAAAGGCAAAAGGCAAACAAATTGTAAGAAGGTTTTCATTTCTGCTGCCTTTTTTTTTCTGGGATAATATTTCAGCTGCTGACTTTGTTTACCACCCATTCTGAAAATACAAATATGAAACTCATCACCAAAATGCATACCACCTCTGTATTAGCAAAGACAGGTGTAGAAATTATAATGTGATCTCCTTTACATTTCTACAGTAAATCCAGCTATAGCAGGCTAATAAGAATAGTTATTTTTATTAGACTACTTCCACAGATCATAAACGTAAGCTTTTATTATAATGTGGCATTATATTAAGGAGTGCAAAGCATATATTAGGAGACGAATTATAATGGTTATCTCCTTTACTCATTCTGTGAACTCCTTTACATGCATTTCACCTTGTCCCCAATTATCTGTTTTTATAAATAGATCCCCAATTATTGTTCATAGATTTAGCTTTGTAATTTATCATTAATTTAAACCTAAAACTACCACCACACACACACACCATTTGAATCTTAGTTATACAGTTAAAGAGATACACACCTGTTATGTAATCCTACTTTTCAAGGACTTTTCTTGCAGGAAAATGAGTTGATTTGTGACTAATACATTTCAAATCCACCCTACCCTAATCATCTGCACATTGTGGAAACTAAATATGGCAGGAAAAGCATTATGCACTCTATATATATATTCCCCTCTGAAGCAAAACTGAAGTAAAGAAGAACATGTAAAGGAGTTCACAGAATTTCATGTTCAGTGATTTTTATTGAAGAATGCAATTTACTCTTACTCTTTCAGTTATTGATAACAACAAGTGTCTTGGCTGTTGTGTATAACGATATAACAAAATGACATCATTTGAGTATCTACACTAAATATATGCATAAAGGAGATCACATGCTTAAAAAAACTAATTTTATTACAAGCTCCAAATGGACATACTAAAAATATCTCTTGATACCCTGTGTTTGGGATATGATTAAATCAAATTATATACTTTTTAGATTGATTTTAGACTCCAGTTTTTTTATTTACTCAAAAATTTGTAATTGTCTTGAAAACAAACAACCGTAAAGGAGAACATGTAATTACAGCAACATGTTATTTTGGATATTTTTTATATGTGAAAAAGTCAAACTCAACATATTATATATGTTTGGAAAGTTCTGTCCATTGTATATCATTTAGAAATTATTATATGTTTGTGTAAGGTACGTACTCAGAGAAATATGCCCCAGAACACTGGCGACATCAAATTGGACACTTAAGAAAGCTGGCCCATATGATCACATTTCTTTTATAATTGGTACATATGCACTTGATAATAGTTGGCATGCATCTATGTATTGACAGTTATTGTGTCACTGGGTATATCTACTTAATTACCTAAAGTAAAGAAAGTGATAGAAACTTTTGGGGCTTTACCCTTTACTCAAAATCAAGAATAATTCTTATTAATTGTAATTGTTATTGAAGACTTTCAGCAGCTCTTCTAGTAGAAATTATTACATACAGATTATTGTTGTGTCTATGATATATGTGCATATATATGTATATACCAACTTGTTAAGTGTTTAGTGTGACTGGTATATTATCTATTTGGTAGGTAGTTGTATGTGTCTACATGTTAACTGATGTTGTCTGACTAGAACATTTATTTATGCAGTTTATCATGTCAAAATTGTTTTTATTTAATATGCATGTTGTTATATATATATATATATATGACTAGTAAATAATTTAAACCCATATATTGATAAAGATAGCTGCTTCTGGACATTTAAATACCATTAAAGAAAGGTTTAAATCAAAGATTTCCATAAGCTAGTTTAAGTTATATTTTAAGCTATTGCTTGAAACAATTAGAGGTATCTAAAATTTACAATATTTATACTTTATGTGATCTCTTTATTATGAAGCATCACCAAATATTCCAGTGTTTCTCCAGTAAAAAGAAAAGCACACAGGTGAGTATTTATCTTCCTTTCATGTATACATATATATATATATATATATATCATACTTGTAAACTCTTATGCTTTGCTCTGATGTGATGAACGTTATTGTGTTTTAACTATTAATAATGAATGAGATTTCATATGGGAAGAAATAGTTAATTTGATTTATATATATATATTTATATATATATCATACTTGTAAACTCTTATGCTTTGCTCTGATGTGATGAACGTTATTGTGTTTTAACTATTAATAATGAATGAGATTTCATATGGGAAGAAATAGTTAATTTGATTTATGTGTAACCAAAAAAAACTAGAAATAGTAGAAGAGCAAAAAATGTTGTATGTATTTTAGATTTACAGTATCATTCTCAGTATGATACTTATGGTGACTAAGCCATCTTCAGAATGATAAAATGTTCGAACTGGCATTTTCAGGATAATGCATGTATTGACAGCAATATATTAAGAATGATACATGGACTTCAGCTTATATTTTCAGGATAATACATTTACATATACTGACAATGACATCTATATGATAAAAATACTGACTATGGTGTTTTAAGGATAATACACATATTGACAGTGACATCTAGATTATACAAGTACTGAATATTTTATTTAGTGGATAATACAAGTACTCACAGTAGCATATTCAATATGATGTATGTTTAAAGAGTGTCATCAAATAGATGATATAAATTCTGACCATGTCAAATTTGTGGCATTTTCAGAATGATATATACTGATAGTAGCATCTTAAGGGTGATACATATACCACAGTGACATATTAAGGGTGATACATGTACTCAGGATGATATCATGCTTCTGATACAAGTACTGAGTAACATCACTTATATGATACAAGTACTGATAATGACACCATCTCAAGAATACTTGCATAGAATAATCCATGCGCTTATTATCTCCAGGTTGAAACTTATGCTGAGTGTATCATATTTAGAATAATTCATAACCTGATGGTGATATCTTCATGATGTAGTTTTTATCACGATAGGGGTCACTCATTTGTTTTTGTCTTTAGCATTATTGTTATTGTTCAGCCAGCCTACAGCAGAAATGGGTGCGAGTATTGCAATCAAAACTGGGCAATATTATCAAATGGATTGTTGCACATTTCTTAGGGTACTTTTAAAGTTATTTCTATATTTTTCATAAGCTAAAACTATCATAATTCTAGTGTAAACGATATTACCATCACTCTTTGAATTTATTTTGCTTAAAAATATCTGGTGTTCCTTTAAGAAACTTAAGCACGGGGTGAAATTCTCAGCCAATAAATAATACATGAACATTTGATGACTGTAACATGTAGATATTCAATACTTTGTGCACTATACATTCAGTGTCTTTAGGGAGCCAATCTTTATATTATGTATGAAGTGAAGGAGTATAAAAAAACAATACACCTAATATTAAATTTTATTACACACGTTCATAGAATAATTACTTTAAAAGACATGCAGTTTATTTTTAGCAATGTTTTAGACTATGTATTTTATTTGTAAAGATTGCTTTTCTAGTGGTAAAATTTATATGTAGTTAGTGGGGGTTGTATCTTAGTATAAGCATATATATGCCCATTGCTATGCATTAACTATAGAGAATTTAGTTACATAGAAACTATAAATGCATACTAAATTCCCAAACAAATCTCTAGCTGCAGCTTAAAGTTTTACATTTTGAACTAATGTGATCAAATAGTCTATAGTGACAGTAAATCATCATGAACTGTATCAGCTAGTCTCCCACAACAAATATCTTTAAAGCTGTAGTTTAAAAGATAACATCAAGCTCTGGTTAGAGCATCAGATCTCCAATCACAGTGATTGCCAATCCCAAGTATCTAATTATAGCCCACACTGCCTGATTGCAAATGTTAAAGATACTGCAAACAGAATAGTCATCACTGGAGCTTACTATGAGGAGTGGCAAAAATCGTACAAGCAGGAGATGGCAAAAATGATAGTGATTCTAGATAAAACTGAGGCAGAAATTTTGTAGCTGTGTATTTTATTTAGAAAATAATTAGCTTCAGATAAAGTATGCAGCAGTGATGGCCCATCAGAGTGTGGGGTTGTCACAGTGGAAGAGGGTCTTAGAAGTGTCATGACCCAAACTGAATCAGAAATAGAGGATGGGTGGTATATTATTGTATTCAACTCATAATTGTTAATTAACACATTTTCGACCTTGTATAATGTGCAAAATGTCACTCTAAGAGGAAATCTGGTGAGCATCACCAAACCATGACCATCCTTACTATGGCCAGTGGAAAGGAGGAAGAGTAAGGGGGAAATATAACAACTATAAGAAATGTTAAAAATTCTTATTTTTATACATATGCTATTATATTGTGACACATTTTCTTATATTCACATTGAATATACATACATGCATCTACACAACTTAAACAATTCATATGGCTATATACATTGTATATATGGCTTTAAAACTTGAAAAAAACTATAAATATATAGATATAAATACTAGCAAATATGCATGTATAAAACTTATGCAGTTACAGAATTCAGACCATGCACCATTCCAGTATAATTCATTAGTCATTCCAATCCAGTGTTTACAGATTCCTGATATAGCTACAGGATATAAATATACTAGCTATATATTTTTTGTAAACATGTGGTATTTTGATCACCATTGTTCATAGTGATCATACACACAGTACCACTATCAAAGATAACGTTGTAGCAATGATATCAGTAGCAATAGCCATCCAATCTGCATGAAGCCAATCCAAAGGTTGTCATTGTTTCCCGACAGAGCATCATACACCAACTACATATTTCATTAAACTAAACTGTTTCAAATAGAACAGTTTAGCTATTATGTCCATGATGGACATACAAAAATAAAGAAACAAGATTATTAAAAATTGTTAATTTAAAAAGGGTAATAGGAATTGTAAAAAAAATATAGAGAAACAAGATAGTTAGCCTAAAGTTAAAATGCAGTCACAAAAAATAAACAAACTAGCTTAAGGTTTGAGATACGAGATGAATAAAAAGTTGTGAATTCATAAACCTGCAAATAGGGATGGTAAACGAGATAAGCATACAAGGCTGGATATACTGTAGACATTATTTACTTAAGCTACAAATCCTTATTTTGACTCTATGCTGTTAGCTAGAATTACATTTGGTGAAGTCAAAATAGGGATTTATAGCTTTAGTAAATAATGTCTACAGTATCTCCAGTGTTCTGTGTTCACCTTGTTTGCTATAACTACTTGCAAATTTTAAATTCCCAATTTTTTTATTTATCTTGTGTCTAAAACCTTCATCTTGTTTGTTTATTTTTTTGTGGCTGCATTTTCACTTTAAGCTAGCTAATTTGTTTCTTTTTTTACAATCCCTATTCCCATTTTCAAATTGACAACAGTGAATTTTTTGGGTAAATAATGTATGTGCATATATTAAAATGTTCAAATCATCCATGTATAGTTGGTATTTTGAATGGCTTCTTTATATATTGAAGTAATGTTTATCTGGTATATTGAAATAATAGTTAATGTTTATGTTTGTTTGTTTGTCTTGCATGTTAGGATGATGATGCACAGTTTGAGAGAAATTCCTTTAAAAGTGAGTATTTTCTCAGTACTCATAACTATTTCTTTGACTAAATAGTTACAATTTGTCATATGTTATTGAATCATGTATAAGATTTCTTCAAATTGCTTTCAAATTCAGTTTTGCTGTAGCTAAAATAAAGCTGGATACCCAAAGAGATATCAAATTACACATTAGTAAAACAAATATGACCATTGACTAAAACTCTGAAATTAGAATAGCATCTTTGCAATGTTGCTTCTGTTTTACATATGTGCTTAATCAATCAAACAGTTGCCTACAAGTTCATCACTTTTCTTCCTAAGCCACAAAAGACCCTACCAGTCAGTAACAGCAACCTTCACTGACATTGCTTAATACTGTCTCCCTAGCAAATGTCATCTGTGAAGATTCAACTTGTCACCCACACTTTAACAGACAAGACTTACTTACTGTTGTTCATTACTGTGTCTTTTGTTAGTCACTTTTCCATTCATTTTACTCTTTCTTATTTGAAAACTATTATAACTTTTCTCATTCATAAATGGGGTTATTCACTTTTTTTTGGTTTTAGCTGTGGTCTATAGCCTCAAAATTGTCCATGTTCACATTTCTGATATGACTTCTAATCCTCCTTGGAATCTTCTTTGTCTGTGCCCTAATGTGACATATGTCTTTAGAGAACCCTTTTTGTGATGTTTCAGTTGTGGTTGAATTTACTCTGTTTTGTCTGCTTTTTTTCTTATCCACTGAAAAGGGAATGTTCCAGAATATTTTTAGGAGGGATCAAGAAATTCTAAAAGTAAAAATGACAACATTTCCAAAAAACTTTATCTTATACACTGGTGGAACAACAGTAAGTTTATGGACTTACAACATTATAATTCAGGGTTTGATTCCCCAAGGTGGGACAGGAAATACTCCAATGTGACTTTGCTATACAACAAATAAACAATTAAACCATAAAAACTAATGCTAGAGAATGTCATTCTTGTGATTGATCCCAGTTATTTCTGCTCAGTCTTCTCTATATCTTTCCTTGAGTTGACTGGAAGTTCCTTCTTTTAAAAAAAGAATTGTGTGCTCTTTACTTTTTAAGGACCTATTTTGGGTATTGATGATCCTTCTGCAATAGAAGTGTTATTTTCTCTATCTTTACATTTTATTCTTCAGTAAGCTTGGAGCTTCTTTCATCTGCTTTCTTTCCTTTCAAGTAATTCTTAAGAACTGTAGGCCCAGCATTTTTCATTTTTGCTCTTCTCCAAATATTCTGGTGTTAGCAAAATATTTTTGAGACAGGCTAATTTTTAATCAAAGTACTTGCCTACCTAATATATGTCAGCTGATTCCTTTTGCTGCTATTTATAGAATTACCATAGAGGCTCAAAATTTGGATTCCTTGACTTATGAACAGGGTAATATCCTTTCTATATTTGTTAATGTTTAGTGGTCTTAGAGGACCTAATCTCTGCTGTGACTGACCTCATCAATTAACTTCCTTTCTGAGGCCTCTGTACTTCAAACAATAGCTTACTCGTTGGATTTACCTTCTAAGCTTTCTTCTTTTTTCAATACATCAGTTGTCAGAGATACATAATCCTAGACCTGTTAAAAACGGGCATAAATATAAGTAATAACTGCAATTCTAGTATCAATATGTGAATTTCTTCTATTAAAGATTCCCTTCCTCTCCCTTTATTCTGAGGACATGCTTATCCTTGCCTCATTTCTTATTCATTTGTGTTTGCAGATGCCTCACTTTTAGTTCTTCCTCACAATGCTTATTTCCAGGTATTTATAAGTTTTTCTTTGCCATTTAAAATCCTCCAGTTTCATCACAAGCTTCTTCAGATTTCAATAATGTCAATTCATATCATTTTCTCTGTTATGTCTACAGTGGTATAGTATCAGTCCTGATATCTTTTATATGCAGTGGTGGATCTAGCCTTGTAGTTTGACTGATTCACTAAATTCTTCCAGTTATATAAAAGGTCTCCTGTGACCCCATCACACAAATTTAAGTATCAAGTTCAGACTAAATGCATTTTAAAAAATGTTTTGTATTTTCCATTTAAATTAAAAAATCCCAATAAGAAAATTCTTGAATACAACATAGCCTAGGTCTAGACCAAGTCGAAACTTTGATCCACCTGCTAATGAAGAATCGGAAATCTATACCAAATGGTGATTTATTTTACATTAGGGTTATTTCTGGGTTCAAATTTGTGATTAGTGGGTGGATCAAAGTTTTGATCTAGGCCTTATATAGTCATAGAAATTATTAATAATACAGTACAGTTTTGTTCTAGTATAATCAGCTAATATATTGCCCAAAACATATTTTAACTAGCTTTTCAGTCTCATTTGAGATAACTATGATGTAATAGGTAATTACCTTAAAAGTGTAAAGAAGTGCAATATATTTTTTTGTGCATATTTTAAGGTGTTTTTTTACAGCCATCTACAGGGATGTGCTCAACAGCCAGAATAACACGTGAACTCACTGGTTGTATTAGGCTTGAGTTTTAACAGAAGTTTGATGTTTTCCACAGCTGGCTAATCAATTCTTATGGACTACAGGAAAGAAGAGGCTAGAAAATGAAATGAAGCACTGGTGCAATATTTTTTTAGGAATGCACTATACTTGAATTATCATATCATTTAAAATAAATTCGTGCCTGATATGGGTTTCACATTCTTTTTCTTTTAGACTATGACTTTTCCATTACCGTGTAGATTATAATTGCTATATGAATGACTAGATAATTCAAACATAGTTGGAAGAATCGATCAATTTATTTCAGCTGATCCTATATATCACTATTTGAGAGGACTGACCAGTCATACAATCTTAATGTTAACCTTGCACCACTCAGATGTTTTTCCTACATCTTGGAATATTTATCAATACCTTCTAAAGTTAAATTCACCAACTTTGGAATGACAGGTTCATTCTGTCCTTACCACCTGTCTGTTGTCATATTCTATTTTTTTATGTCTGGTTTTTCTAGAGTATTGTTCCCTCTAGGATGGACTTCCTCTTATGTACTCTGAAATGTTTTCTGGAAAACTTACTAAACACCCTTTAAATTAGATGTTTTTCTCTTCTATAATCTAGCCTCATACACATTTTGGTGAGGTCATTCTCATACCAAATTGTGAGTTTCTTTGCATATTCGTCCTTCACCTGTGGTGTAATTCTGAATGACCACAGGGTCTCTAATGTAACATAGAATCTAATTCATGTCAATAAACCTGAAACATTAGCAGTTGTAAGGGAATGATATCATTCCAGAATATTATTTAAGGCCAGCTGACTCACTTTCACAACTCTGTTGTGTTATCCCACATCAATCATCAGAAAGGAATGAGGTATTGTGATCTCTACTTTTGGATCTGAACCTCTTACTATGGGACCAACTCCTATCCATTTTTTTGGGCATGCAATATTTCTCTGGTCACAAATTTTATTGCTTATCATGTGTCTCCTCCTAAACAGGTTTTTCCCATAGATGCCTTTAATTGTATCTGCTTCATCATGATCAATGTGTATTCCACATCCTTCAGTCACAAGATATTTTTCTTATGGTCATATGTGCCAAACTTTAGCCATTAGGAATAAATGTTCTAAGTCAGAAATGGTCAACCATTTTCTGTATGGTTACCATTCTCTTTGTCTCATATTCTTATAATTTTGGATATGATTTGCCTATTCTGTGTCAAGCTATACTTTCTGCCTCATGGTTGTATTTTCAACTTTTGTTCCTTCTTTCTTTGGAATATGTTTGAGTGAGCATGATGCCCTTTCCTTCATTGGGTTTTCTGTTGTAACTACTACACATGTATTGATGTTTGTTTCATCCCAGTATGTCTTGCCTCTGTTTAAGCTGTATGAAAGATCCTATCTGTTAAAGTAACTTGCCTAACAGCCCTGATCTTGCTCTTTCTACTTTGATAGTTTATTATTCCAAATGGATGCCTTCCCATTACTGGTGGTGGTGAAACAATGTCTCCATTTTGTTATCTTATATTGTCAAGTTGGAAGACTGCTTTATGTTATTTTTTATTAATGGAGATTTTCAACCTCAAGAATTTTCAACATGAGTCATATTTATCCCCTGCCACCATTGCACATTGAATCAATCCTCATTTCCAAGGTACCTGAAGATCTTTACCAGTCACATCATATCAATCATGACAGCTATGGTAACTGTCAAAATCTTTGGCAGCAGTTTCTCACTTTTTTGTAAAGAATGTTGTACAAGCTAGCATGACTTCTATAAGTATGTTTAGATCTTCCTATATACACCACATTATTGTTTTGTCAACAATATGATTCCTTCTGCCTCCAGTAGTGATCTTAAAGACACCATCAACCACTTCACAGTGGGAATTTCCGCAAATAGAGAAGGACCACTAAAATAGTTCAATGTCATTCCATATGTAAAACATTATTTATTATCTTTTGTTACAGATTTTCATACTTAGGTATTCCTGTGTTAGTGGCTGGATATCACCTTGGCCTTTGAAGTATGTCATTGAACACTTTTCTGGTCTTCCTTGGGACATCACCTATTACACTATTCAACTACTTTTATTTTTTAAGTTATTACTCTGGCTAATTTTTTTTCAAAAAGAACAACTGATATATCCTGTTTGTTTTTTTTTTTGTTTGGATACTACATTCTTGTTGATGTGTTAGTTCTAAAAATACTTAATTGGTACTACAGAAAATTAATAGAGTAGAAAAAAAATCCTTGATAAAATAGTATGCTAAAATCATGAATAAAGTAATTTGGCAAACATGTATTTATAGCTGGAAATGGTGAAAGCTTATATTTGCAAAATCAATGGATATATGAAGGCAGTTTTGCAGCACAAAATGTGTTAAAAACCAATATTGAAATTGTATCATCAAGAAGAAATCTGGTCAAAAACACTTTTCTTACTTTCAAGACTGACCCTAATGTTATCATACAAATATTGTAATATCAACATATGAAGTAGTAAATTTTCATTATTCCTTGTATTTTGGCTCTTTCTTAGCAGTTATTTTTTCTCTACTTGTAAGATATTTTATGACATTTAATAAAGAGTGTACTATTTTTTGCATAAAAATATGCTTAACTTACCTTATCTTTTGTTACCTTTTATAGAGTATGTAAAGCCTGAAATGATGAAGGACAGTCCATACTACTTAGATAGTTTAGAAGAATTGCCAACTGAGAAAGTATCTAGAACAAAACTGCAGGTAGAGACTTATAGTTACAAGAAAAACCATGAGGAAAGAAATCATTTGTTGTGCAACCATAATAAAGATAACAGTCATCACACTCTTCAGAAACTCAGTGTAGATAGTGAAAGCGGAGAAACAGACACTGAGAATGAGGAGATTATATCAGTGACACCAGCACATTTTCGAAGTTTTCACTCTTTATTTCAAGGAACATCAAATCCTGTGCTATTTGAGCTGCAGAGTTTAGAAGGAAGCCCAAAAAGCACTCACATAAAAGATCTGTGTCCACTTGTTAGTACTGGTGGCACAAATGACAATAAAGAAGAAAGTACAAGTTTTATTTCACAGTCTACGCCTTCATGTCAGCCACATAGTGTACAGCCAAATGATGCTCAGTCTGGTTTTTCAGAATCAGGATCCTTAAACAGTAGCATCTTGGAAGAACAGAGTGCCTTATATGTTCCTGCTAATAGTCGACTGGGAAGCTACATACCCTACAAACCAAGCAAGTTGTTACAGCATGAAGAACCTGTTATCAGTGAGGAAGATGAAAATGATGAAAGCCAAGCAAGTACAATTAAACCAGTGAATATAAATGTGAACCGTACATCTTCAACACTCTCTCTAAAGGAAAATCATGTCAGTGTTACTGATAAGAGTGATAATCATGAAAAACCAGCCAAAGAAAGAAAGGCATCTTCAGTTGCTTCCAAGGAAGATCCAACTGAAGTAAGCTTAATTAGCAGCACTCAGTTTTCTGCTAGTGAAAACAAGAAAGTGCCAACTTCCTATAAAACTAAATCTTGGAGCATAACAGCTGTTTGAGTGATAATTTTTTTTTTTCATGTCCTGAATCATACATATGTTTCCATACAACAGTAGTTACAGTCGAGACAATTAAATATAAACAATAAATGGTTGGATAAATATATTTATATATTCACTTAGAGATATATATCTATGTTAAAATAGAGCTGCATAATTGTTCTGTTATTTAGCCCATTATTATTTCTTGTAGGAGTTGTACACAAAGTAAAAAGTTAGAAAATTTACATGCATTAATTGCTAATTAATAATAATGAAAAGACATGATTAATACATATATGAATTTTCTTCTAAAATGATGTGACCTTTCTCTTAAATACTATTATTTAAACATACTTTTGTATTGGAAATAACATCATAGTCAGGGTTTGCAGTCAATACCAGTACCGGTGGTATTCTGCATCCAGTACCGGTATCAGGCCGTCAGTACTGGTTTAAAATATATCATATGTTGAGAATAATATTTGTTATCACATGTCTCCCTGGCCTGGCATGGCCAGGTGGCTAAGGTGCTCGACTTGCAATCTGAGGGTCGTGGGTTCGAATCCCCATCCCACCAAACATGTTCGCCCTTTCAGCCATGGGGGCATTATAATGTTACGGTCAATCCCACTATTCGTTGGTAAAAGAGTAGCCCAAGAGTTGGCGGTGGGTGGTGATGACTAGCTGCCTTCCCTCTAGTCTTACACTGCTAAATTAGCGAAGGCTAGCGCAGATAGTCCTCGTGTAGCTTTGCGCGAAATTCAAAAAACAAATAAACACATGTCTCCCATCTTTGGAGTGTTGACCCAATGCCTCCTCTTATATTTCAGCATCGCTTTTCACAGAATTATAGATATTTGATGTGGTAGTTATGAGTTCATACTTCAGTTGATAAGCGAATCTCACCGTGAAAATCGGCAATAGCATGAAATATGGGAAACTGGTGACTCTCACGCTCTGGAAAAGAACGTGAATGAGCCTACGTGACTGACTGCACGTTGGGTGGTAGGTGCGTGATTAACCCTTAGCATGCAGGCAGGTTAAACTGTGCATGTCACGACGTTTTAGTGAGTTACATTCAAAATTTAATTAAACTATTTAATTATCATAGTATGCCAACAAACATGACATCAAACCATAGATAATAAATCAAATTTCAATATTATAAAATTCCCCCAAGTGTGAGAACTTGGATATTTGTTCTTAATCTGTCTCCTTTTCTGGATTTATTTGTCCACCCCTAGAAAACTACGAAATCTAATGTAAAATACTCTCTATAATTTCATCATGGATATTCTGAAGTGTATTTTTATACTTTTAAATCTTATGTGGCTGAAGAGCAATCAATGAAAATTCAGAAACCACTTTCCACTCCTACCTCTGACATGCTCTAATTTACAATTTCCTAATAGATTTTTCTGGGGCACATTCCCATTAAATTTATAACCAATAGAAAGCCTAGATTTCAACTGATTCATTGTCATATTCCTCATTGCAGATGGGCTTACAGATAATTGACAGTTTGGTTTCATTTGAATAAATATTTTCCCACAAGAACACACTGGGAAGAATAGTAGAATTTCTAATTGCTCAAGTCACATGATTAGATGCTCCGATTACCGGTACCGGCAACCTGGTACCGCTGGTACTGTTGCAAACCCTGAAAATAATATCAGTAACATTTATATTTTTTTGTTGTAATGATTTTTATTTTGTAGTTTTTCAGGGTTGATGAAAAATAATAATGAGCAACATATATCTTAAATAACAGACAACCTGTAAGATGGTAAACCATTAAATCAATTTACTCTTTGAAATATTCTTTCTCATATACTAAACAATATATTTGTTTTGTGTAATGTACATATAAACAAACAATTATGAAGAAAGAATCCCTACACACTCTACACTTCAGTTTGTGTTTTAAAGCTACTTCATCCTTGTACTTTTTGTGTGTTGTGAGATGCTTATATTGGTAATTTTATAATGAAATGTACAAAATTTTGTGTGTTGTATGATGTTTATGTTATAAATATTCATTACCAATTACTTGAATAGTTATAAAATAAGGTGTTACGTATATAAATACGTTGACTAAGGCATAATTACAGCGTTTTTCATTCACTTAAAAATCTGTATATAAATGTTATTATTATTTAATACACAGAAACCTTAAATCAACCTACTATAAATTATGTTATATTGATATATGTTTTAAAATGTGGTAATACGTCAGTGAAGTTATGAAACAAGCTGGAAACTTCAAAGAGAAGCAGTGAAGCAATGTAAGGTGTTATTGTTTTTCCTAGAATCTAGTGCATTTTAAAATATTAAAAAAAATCATAATTATCTTGGAATATCTTACACTTTTGGGTTGATTGTAAAATATTCAGATAAACAATATACCTTAAAAGCTTAATATTGTATGCTTGGTTGGGTATATGAGAATTTAAATAAGAGCTCGTGTATCGTATTTGTTCCTAAGAATAAACACGGTGTACAAGGACTACTGGAACTACCTTTAAAAAAGCCATACTTTTAGCTTCAAACAACTTTGGGTTTTTTTCCTTTCAAAAAGGTTATGAGAATTTACTATGAAGTGAATGAAACATTACTGATATCACTTCAGGTTGCCATGGTGATTTGAATTTATTAATTCATATCAGATTATAAATTACATAAATAGGTGTCCTACCTACTAATTTTGTATGAACAATAAATGTAATTTATTGCAAGTAATAAATATCTAAACTATAACTACATATTGAGTAGTACATTAAAAGTTACATCTTTAAGTCACGTAAATAGGCTATTTTCCGTCTAACAAAAATTTTTATATTTCATGAACTCATGTTGCAATGTCACGTACTCCCCCTCCTCGTGGAATCAGCGATAGGCTGTAGTAGGCATAGCATAAATAGCAATTGTGCAGTTTTTGCTTAAATAAAAAAACAGTTAATCTTGTGCCTTTCACGGTATAAGTTATTTTTTATATTTTCATTAATATTCCTTATAAGTTAGAAGTTGTCTAGAAGGTTCTATGTTTTCTAGTCTAATAGTTTCTTTTTTTCAGTAATCTAGGACGAGCCAACATTTTAAAAATAATTAATTCACCAATTTCTCAAGTGTGATAATAGATACATAAATACAAATGTGGTTTCGAAATATATTTAGTACACTTGGTAAATTCATTTCTAACATCGTTACCTTTTATTTTAAATTTATTTCTATATTACTTGTAATTGGGGATGGCAAGAAAGTAAATATCTAGGTTTTCTTCCAGTTTATCTTAGTTGTGATATTTTTTCAAACCTTGGATATCACTCACTGTTAGGTTGCGTCTAGGATCACAGAAAAAGATATGCTCATTGTTTTGACATTTGTATTTGCCCTCTGTATGTAATGTCATTGCCTTATTCTCTAGTGCTTTAATGATGTGTGTGCGTTTCTTTGAACTCTGTATTTATGGAAGAATTAAGATGATTCTCATGTAAATTACGTCCATAATGTGACTGCTCACGAGTTTTTTTCTTGTTGTTTTTTTGTCTCTTCAAAGAAAATAAATTCTCTTCTGTATAAATTAAAGGCCACGTGTTCTGTCTCTAAAGAAATTATTGAATAATCGTTGCCTTTATCGTATAAATATCTAAGTTATTTTGTTCTTGAATTTATCAAAAATTCTCTCAAAACCAGGCAGACGATTTACATACCCAACAGAAGTAAGTATCCGTGGAAAATTAAACAGTTCGAACGATGTGCTCTAAAATTGTACTGAGACATAGAGAAAGCTTAAAAAATAATACTACCAATTTAAACTTTGTAAGACTTAAATGTGCACAGAATATATTATGTATTTAAGACTTATGTGCACTATAATATCTGAAATACCGGGGCAGCACACTCTCAGCTTGAAATGTGCTTGTCCCAACTGAATTTGTACAAAATCTCGTGGTGCACTACTGTATAGATCAACAGTTTCCACCGGTACCCATGTAAGATCAGAGTGTCATGCAGGAAAAACGGAGCTCTGGGGCCTTTCAAGAGGAATGACTATTCGATGTAACATAAGTATTATTAGCGTCCGAAAATTTTATCCAAGCTAGTCATACTCAAATTCATTGCGAAGATTTGCTGAAGAAACAGAAAACCCCTGGTTAGGCCAATATGAAATATCAACCAGACTGCTTAACAAATTAATCCGGTCCTTTGTTATAAAATCAAAGTGCACATTTGGTATAAAGATTAATCACCCAGGATCTTAATGGGTAAATGATGAGCTTTCCAAGCTTAAGATTTGCAAAAATACCTCTTAAATTCTGATCTTGGCGACAATTTTGCGGTACCTATTGTACGATTGCTTACCAATTACCAATACGACGTCATAAGGGTGAGACAGCCACTTTTATTACTGTTCCTTCCAGGAGCGTAATTGCTGGAACCACACAATCATGCATTCTAAATGAAGAAACGTTTATATCAGAGATCCGACCAGATGGCTAAGAAACTTTAAAAAATACTATTTCTTACACCTATTCGTCAAAAATGTGATTAATTTTTTTATAAAATGCTGAAAATAGAGTTAATTTACTTTATTTGTATAACGTTAATTTGATATAACAATAAGACTAATGTTAACTTTCCATATCAAGTCATGTACGTCATGTTATCACTGTTTAGAAATGTAAAAACAGTTGAGACAACTTTATTTATACCCCTTAACGATATTTATGAGCAGAAGTTATTTTCCTCTATTCCTGATATAAGAAAGTAAAAACCAAACGGGCAAACTTGGGATTACTGTATTGGTAATAAATGAAAATAGTACTCTCAACCTACTCTATGTTTAGTTAAGAAGTTCCTGTAACCAACCACCATCACTATGCATTTCAAATGTAAAACAAACTGGTTTAAAAATGCTAGGGAGTTAATAATCAAAGCAAATATTTTATTAAGAAATGAGCCCATTGTGTAGCTTTATGTTTAACTTCAAACAAACAAATTAAGAAATGATGTTTATTACAATGGTAATACAAGAAGTGAAGACTCAGTCTTCGTAGTAGTATACAATATAATGTAAAAACACGATAACTTCTACTAACATTTTGTGT